GAAAATATAGAAATAATACTAGCGTGGCTGATCATTGTGGATAAGTTTGATTTTTGGTTCATCACTGCATACGCTTGCTAGCTGTTTTTTTCCGGGTGAGTTTTGTCTAGAAAATCTAGTTCATAGTGCCTCTCTGATGATACCTTGTTCCGAGCGACCAAAACCCTGTACATACTGGTTCTTGTAAATACTTGGGATTTCAGCAATGCCTAGCGTGAAAGCTCAGATTTCTTGTAAGTTTTGCTCTCGGTCCTGCATGCTGATCACCCTAAAATAATGTATGCAAATTTATCATGTTTTTTTCCCAGCATGTGAAGATGTTGGGGATCTGGAATTTGTTTGGTGTAACCATTCTGCAAATATTCCAGTCAATGTATTGCTTTGATGTTTGATGCAATTAAACGTCGTAGAATTTGTGTTTATTTGCAAGATTTATTGCTGTTGCTTCAAAGTAAAAAGCAGGAGGATATGTCAATGCCGGATTTGTTCATGATCCATGAGCATAGCTTTCAGCCCGTCCTGTTTGTTTCATAGATCCCTGTTCTTTCCTTGCCGTTTATGTTTGTTGTGTTTTTATGCATTAAAATGCTCGTTCTCGTAGATTTGATCTTGAATGTTAGCTGACAACACTGTACTGTGGAAGGCATATGCAACCTTCGTCAGAGCACCGTGAGCATAAGGTAACTGGATCTATCAAAGCTGTGATTGACCATGAACGAGAAGGGATGATTTGAATACGACGGTAAGATATCTCGCCTTAGATTTTGTTGCCTTCGGGGCAACCCGCATACAGTAATAACACGAGGCATGCATCTGGTCAAGTGCAAGATTTCACGTGTAGTACCCTTGCAGAAGACGTACAGCTCCTCTCATGCTCTCTACGTTTCCTTCCCTTCCCTTCATGTCTCCACCAACCAGAGAGAGGATTGGCTGTCTCACCAACATTTTTTAATTCACACCTGCCCATCCGGCCACGAGAGTGTTGTTGGTAAGATGGTGGTGTTCGGTTAAGCTATTGAATTTGAACAAAACAATTAATTAATTAATTAATTTCTTTAAATTTTTTATCAAATTTAAATCCACAACCCGCAACATTGAGACACTGTAAGGTATGATACCGGCGTTGTAAAGGGATTACAAGAGGGGCCGAGGTCGAGAGAGGTTGGCGTACAAGTTGCATTAGGGAACGTCCATGTACATAGTGTTAAGTAACATGCAGATGCAATTCCAGATAGTGTATTAATGAGAAATATAATATAATTAATTAATTAGTGTATTAATACAACAGTAGCCAGCGAGTGAAGGCACATGCATGCAGACCACACAAATATGACAATATATATATATAGCAGTTTAGCTTTTTACCCCCCTTATTTCCTTCTCTATAAAAGAGGCCCACTTGCCGAGCAAGCTAAACATCTAGATCTCAACCGATTATTCCATTTTTGTTCCATATATAAATATTATAGCTAGCTACTTGTAGAGATTGTACACTAACAGTCTCTTGGACCTGCACACAGCGTTAAATTAGTTTGGATGTATTGCAATTGAAGTTGTTTGACTTGTTCCACAAGTACGTAGAAATCGGGGGGGACAAAAACGATGAAGTAAAACTACATGGTAAATTTATATGCAGTAAAATGACAGATATTTTATGGGGTAAATACATGTATTATGTCATGCATATCTATCTATCTTAGTGGTGAAGTAAATAATATTCATGATCCCCAAAGAAACATGAGCATGTGATGTTCATATATATGATCTAGCTAGCTGCTCATATTTGGCATGTGACCCCCCCAGTACCTTCTTTCTTCTTCTTCTTTTTTTTTATCGAACATGAAAAAAACACGTACTCGATGTATCCATCGATCGATCTAGCTATTATGCAAGTCCTGATTGGTGGTCCTCTCTCTCTCTCTCTCTATATATATATATATATATATATATAAGCCAGTAACCCTTGCTATGAGTTATTTTTTCATCTCGGGGTGGGGAAAAATAAACCCTCAGTCAGTCAGTCAGTTGGCCTATGCCTTGTGTACATTATGATCCCCACATGCCTATTCAAGTAACTAAGAGATGAAATCATGCAGTATATATGGACCCAAAATAATTATTTGCAGTATTTGGTGGGGCAGTGCATGCATGAATGATTGGAAAGGGCACATATTGATGATTGGATTTATAAGCACCGCATGCACGCCTCTCCTGCTGTCCTGCAGTCATCGTGTGTGCTGATCAGTTAGAGTTGCAAATAATTAAAGGCCAAAAAGGAGCTGTTTGGGTCAGGCATGGCAGCTTGCAATATTGTTGCAGTCCTCTATCTATCTAATTCATGTTCAGAAACCGCCCTCCCTCCCTCCGCTTGCATTATTTGCCGCATGCAGCGCCATAACGAGCCTAAACATTAAATATTGATGAGTTTGTATCGTTGAATATATATATACGACCCCATTATTCGCTCAATCATTTGCTACGTCATGCAGCTGCTGCTCCATCCGGCCTTCAGTTTCATTATTTTGGCAGCAACCATCTCGAGGAACGTCCTCACACGGTCCCATATTACCACCTTTAATTATGTTCCTAGTTAAATGCCATGCATGCCCCTTGTGCTTGCATGCATGTATCCCACACACACACACACACACACACACTAGCTAGCTAGGATCCCTGATCACATATAATTATATATAATGTATCATCTTAAATCCTCGCTTAATCTTAAATCCATGATGGAATAAAGCTCGATCGATCGTACATGCATGATCATTTATTTGGTAATTGAGAGTGATCATCACCCATCAACATTTCCCCGATCCAGTTGATATTGGATATTGTAAACAGGTACAGTACTAATATCTATCTGTTCCTTTTCTATATATGGTTGCACGTCGTTTAGCTGCAGGAGTATCCGCCATGCATTGCATGCGTTAATTTTGCACAGCGAATATATCCTCTGATTTATCAACCATGTGATTGTCTATTGATTTCATCAATTTGATCTAATAATAATAATAAGTGCTCTTGACCATCATCAATTAGTACGTACGTAATTAGGCAAAAACAATGGATATTTCTCTCTTGCAGATAACTAATTAATTTGACTCTTGGGCGAAGGCCGTGTGCATGTGATGAAGAAGATTAACTACTGCAAATCTCATCTCCAAGGCAAGCTTCATGCCTCATGACGAGCCAAGCACCACTCATTAACTCTCTTAATTAAGCTCTTCCATGTGGATTCATATCAATAAACAAAAACAAAAAGATTAATTTAATACAAATAAACAAATTAACCCCGTACCCAACTCCAATAAGAGCGTACGATTTATGCAGTTTCTTTGACCATTGACCGAATAATAATCACCCCCATTATCTATTTATTTAGTCAAAATGGGCCCAAGGAATCCACATTCCATTTCCTTATTTGCTCTACGTCCTCCCTCCCTCCCTACCTCCCTCTAACCCAGCTATATATATTCTATATCGAGAATGTGTGAACGGAGACGTACCCGAAGTTGACCTCATCAATTAATTAAACTTCATTAATTCTAAAGAAGATTTCGAAGCATACACAGGTCTTTTTTTTTAAAATAATTAATTAGCACAACGAAAGAAAAGGGCTTTATTAAAATAGCACAATTAAAAACTTATTTATAAAAATAGTGTGGTTTATTGAGAATATACGCGATTAATTGTGAATTAAAAGACTCGAAAAATGTATCTATCATTGTAATTTTACAATCTCCATGAAACTATCCTACTTTTACAAATAAATTTTCAGTTTTGCTATCAGCTGAGAATTTTAAGAAACCCTAAATTAACCATTTATGCTAATCTCACAAGAGACTCCTTGCATTGTCCTGTTTCAATGTCCGAATAATTGTGATATTATATGTATATATGTGTGTGTGTGTGTACATATACATACATATATATATGTATATACATGCCCGCGCGCGCTTACTTTATCCATGTAAAATTAAACTATTTTTAACACGCAAGACAAACTGGACCACCAGCCACCATTCCCATCTCGCAGTATATGATCTCTTCATTTCCCAAAATTAACACCATCTATGTATTCAATCAAAGACCAAAAAGGAAATCATTGGAATCCAATGTAGGAGAGGGGTGTCCTTTTTCTGGGTGTGCAGAGAATGTATGACGTCTACATTATAGTAGGTGCGCAAAGCCGTTTTCTTTTACAGGATATTATTTTCGATAGGAAGAAAGTGAGAAAATATCCAGGGAAAAAGATAGTGATATTCTCTACGTACAATAATATTGGGAGATGCCAAATCCTTTTGACCATTCACAATCATTTTTTCCAGGTTGGAAAACAGAGGAGGAGGGAGGATAAAGATAGGTCGATGTGAATAAGAAAGGTCTTAGGTTTTAGAGGATAATTCGAACATATTTCATGTACAAAACTAGGAAAAGCTGTGCCTGTGTGTGCCAATAGCATGCAATTCCTAGCTTGCTTGCTTGCTTATTTATTATTGTATCCTCTTGATCGGTAACCATAATAAAATAACGAGCATTTCACATGATTGATGCCATCTTCCACGATCTTCAAGGCAGCCCCAAATCCAATAAACAGATACAAAATTGTTTCTGTTGACAACATTTAATAAAAGTTCTTTCTATTTGCAGATATCCAATAGGAAATCAATCAAGTTGATAGCATTAATGCGCACATATATATATCTATATATATATATTGGAAGAAAGTGGAAAGTAACCATCTGGGTCTTGGGGGATTAAACAAAGAGAGAGTAAAAAGTGTAGCTGCTTTGATTGATTCTTGAGGGAGACAGTTGCACTGATCACTACCGACGTCCCTAACTCCAATGATTTACCATATTTAATTACTGCATATATGGGAATTAAATACTCTGCAAAATCATTACATCAAGCATCTACACTCACACCCACACCCACATATTTATATATAGAGCTTCTTTAAACACCACCACCACCACCCACCACTTGTGACATATTCCCTCTAGCAAACACTACCAAAGAAAATTATTATCTCTCTCTCTCATGGATCATTCAAAGAAGTCTAACAAGATCAGCGACATCGTTCGGCTTCAGCAGATCCTTAAGAAGTGGAGAAAGGCAGCAAGTGCACCCAAAAACAACAACAACAGCAGCAGCAGCAATGCCAGCAAGAGTATCAAGTTCTTAAAGAGAACACTCTCCTTCACAGATTTGTCATCGTCAGCAGCAGCGTCGTCAAATGATGCTGTTCCCAAAGGGTACCTTGCTGTTTGTGTTGGCAAGGAGTTGAAGAGGTATATCATCCCTACAGAGTACTTGGGTCACCAAGCCTTTGGAATTCTATTGCGAGAGGCCGAAGAGGAGTTTGGGTTTCAACAAGAGGGAGTGTTAAAGATACCATGTGAAGTTCCTGTGTTTGAGAAGATCTTGAAGGTAGTTGAAGAGAAGAAAGATGCTAGCTTGTTGCATGAGTTAGGGCCTGTAAATTCAGAGTCGACGGCCAAGGAGATGATTGGTTGTTACTCACAATCACCAGATTGTGAGGTAACACCTTCTCATCATCCACAAATGTGTAGGTGATCAACAACGTTTACACAGGATCATCGAAGACCCGTCCCTTTTCTCTTCTTAGAGGCTACTTGCTTTTGCTTTCCTTTTGGGAGAGGAGATTCCTGCTACAAGGAATACAGTTAGAGAGGAGTACCAATTTCTAATTAGGATTGAATAATTAATTAAGCTGGTAGATTTATATTATGTTGATCAAAATTAAGAAATAATAAAAATATATATATATATATATATATACATAGCTGTTACTGGCTATATATATATATATATATACTCGGATAGCAGTATAAATGTGATAATACAGGTAGTATATATACATCGTACTTGTAACTACGTACGTACCATGTATTTCAGAGCAAAGTATTTTGGATTTTTATGACTTCAATTTGATTTTTTGGAGTTTGCGTGTGTGTGTGTGTGTGTGTGTGTGTGTGTGTGTGTGTGTGTGTGTGTGTGTATATCCACGTACGTAGCACGTACACTCACAGTCTGGGCATTTTCTGTATTAATTAATTGGTAATTTTGCGGATTAATTACTATATCTGGAACATGCATGCGAATTTACAATGGTCACTACGAGCTAGCATGTGATGGTTAAACTTGGATTATTTATTAATGTACATATTTAGGTATCATTTGGATGCTAGTAATGAAATTAAGCAATCCGCTATATCTTGAGATTATGGAAAGAATTAATTGAATGATATTTTCAATTTTAATGAACACAATATGTTTTGAATAGTTTAGTATCGAAATATTGAGATAAAAGATTTTTTTATTATAATATTGGAGACGATGATAATGATAGAATTGAGTCCTCTATATATATTCTTGAGGAAGACTTAATCAACTAAATGCATGTCTAAATATATAATATTGAGATACTGATGAGATTCTAAACAGCTAATTAATAAATACACGATTCTAGCTAGTTATAACCCCCTCGATCAAGATCGGATCGTGTAGAGATCGAGGCCAATCTTGTCCTTGAAATTGATTCTAAAATTGTGAACAAGGAAAAGGCTTGGTACGTACGTAAGAAGCTAGCTAGTCAATATGGGAGGAGTTAAACATGGGCTACCCGTAGAGTACCAGACTAACTATATAAGCTTGGGCACGAAGAAAATGCATGGTAATCAACAACAACAACATGCTTCTTTGGAGAATGAAATACTGGATTGATTGGAGCTCAATTGAGTTACACCAATATTATCACATATAATAGACTACTACAAGGTTAATTGGATACAGGAACACAAAGTTCTGATATACATATAGAAGTGAACAGACCCCGCATAGTTCATAGTTCAGCGACAGTGTCGACAACTGAGCGATATTAATTCAGCTGCAGGCAACTATTTTTTTAAGCAAAAAGCCCCTCCTTTTTAAAAAAAATAAAAAAATAACTTTTTTTTAAAGAAAAAATCAATCTTTTTGCTGATATAGTCAAGTTCAGCAAAAGGGTTCATGGGTCAACGCATCAACCCGTTGGACTCAATCCTAATTTAGAACCATGTCTAATATAAAAAAAGAAAAAGAAGAGGGTAAGAGTTCAACCGTTGCATTGTTAGTAGTGCAAAACTTAGAAATGGAAATTAAATTTTTTGTAATTTGGGGACACAAAGAACATTGTTAAGTGTAAATTTGGAGTTTAGAGAGGAGAAGGTGGTAGAATCGGCCGTGCGTGTGATGGACAGGGCTGTACCATCTCTAATCATCATAACATCATCAAATCCTTTGTAGGGTGAATGAAGAGATAATTGTTCAAGTCTGCCGGGACATGATGAGAATTATTAGATGGTGCAGAGGCCAAGGTTAGATCTATGACGCGTTATAGACAGCAACATTGGCTTGGGGTTGCCAAGAAGCTGTCAAATTATTAGATGGTGAAGATCCCAAGGTGGATGATGGAACTCGAATCACCTGAAAAGAAGGACATTTCTTGGATGTGTATCCCTGAATGCTACAAATTTAATAGAACCCTTAAAATGGTCGTGGAGGAGTGCGGTTGTTGTGATATTGAGGTCTTGGATTGGGAAGCAGGGGAGGACGTCCATTGTTGGTATTTGGGAAACGCCAATTCATTCCACCAGCCGGAGAGGAATAAGAGGGATGCAAGTTAGAGTTGACGCCAAGTATGAATTGTTCTTTGTGTTGGATTTGTAGTAATTAGAAGAAGTGCTGCTTCTACATTTATGGGTGCTGAAGTAGATGCTTCGAAAGAGAGTAGCTTCTCGTGAAGCTCATAGAAGGAAATGGATGTGTCACGAGCTTGACCCGCTCGAACAAGTTCTTTGCAGTCATTTCCCAGTCCATCAACTATCTTGTCTATGAGATCTTCGTCATCCATTAGTGCACCTAGTTGAGCCGGTTCATCAGCACGGACTTTGACGTAATGAAGATACTCAGTTGTGGTCACATATAGTGCCTTTCGACAGATTCTTTAATTGATTTTTAACTTGTTTGATGCGCCCACAAGAAGGTTTGGCATGCCTATTGGCAAGAATTGTCCATACTTCTTGAGTGAGAAGTTCATGCTCGGGCGATGAAGGATATAATGGTAGGAGACCAGAGAGAGCCAATCAAGGCATTAAGAATTAGTTGACAGTTATGGTTTTTGGTAGGCAAGGTGTGGATCCATCAATATATCCTAAAAGATCATATCTCCAATTATGAGAGTTTCCATGAGATGTAGTTGGTAGAAATGAGTTTGAGAGGTGCTTGAGCAAAGATATTGATGGTGATGAGGAGGGGAGGACCTCATTGGCGTGAGGAGTTTCGAGTTCGATTGAGTTCATATCGATGTTTATATATAGTCAAGAGGGAATCGGGAAGAAGACAAGAAAAAAGAAGAAAGAATCAATAAGAGATCAGTAGAATAATGCTCTGATACCCATGGTAGAATGATGTTACAGGAGGAGAATATAATGTTTCTTTCACGTTCATTAATCAGAAAAGATTATATATATATATATATATATATATATATATATATAAACTCTCATATCCAGCTAGAGAGTAATTGGGTCACTCAATTGAGTTCTGTTCTTGAGGAATTGAAAACTTAATCAACAAAATGCCTATCCAAACATTTGAGATACTAAGAAGCTGAGATTTACTATATCTATTCATTCTAATAACAGAAGTAGCATACACTTCGATAGATAACAGAGGCGGTGATTGGATAATTATGGTAGTCAGCAACTAGTAGCTAGCTAGCTAGAGAGTTGCAATACGTAAATAAAGGATTTTCCAAAGTTGCCTCAGCTAATCAGGCCATGCGATCGTGAATTTTGCTGTTCCATGTGTCTCTGGGCTCGTGCCACTTCCACCTGACGCCCATAGCGGCACATTAATCAATTAAATGTTCGTGCAAGAGACAATATATATCATTGGTTTCCACGGAGCTATTTGCTGTCGACCAATTACATGAACATATAGATTTATTGATCACGCATGCAGATCTTACCTTTGATTCAAGACGATGTGTTGCTCCTCTTGATCCTGCTCGTGGAAGAAGCCTTGTCCCTTCGCAATCTCAAGCATCTTAGCAGTATTTCCTCAAAGTCTTCCTCTTCGCATGGAATATGCAGCCCACTACCTTGACTGTCATAACCAAATTCCCCAGCAACTTTATCCATCAAACCCACAAATTCTGGCGTTGACAAGCAACTCAATGGAATCACAAACCTCCGTTGCTCTGCCCCCACGTACACCGCTAGAAAACCTCTTGGCACCTTTTCAGGAGCGCTCGCCCCTTTGGCAACCAGTTTGCCGCCTGTCGAGAATTTTGATCCGACTAGCAAAGATTCCTTGGGGTTCTCTCTGCAATATTGAGGAGCCCAGTACCATAACCATAGTTGGAGAATCTTCTTTGGCCTGGTGGCAATGTGAACCATCTTTCGAAGGTTTGTGGTTGATTGAGATTTCTTGCATACAATATCCATGGTGGATTAATAATTGATTATAAACTCAATGCAAGAAGATTTTGAATGCATGCTGAGAATACACACACACACACACACACACACACACATTCAATCGATCATCACGTACGAATGATTACATTATATATGTGCATTGAGAATAATACAATTAATTAAGTTTATGAAAACAAAAACAAATTAATAATAATAATAATAATAATTAAAGTGTTGCAAAAACGTTAGAAGAAAAGAATCATGATAGTGGACATTGATTTGTGAAAAGATGCATGGTACTGGCTCCTTGATTTGAGCCAAGAATTGATCAGTTTGGAAATTAAAGACTTTTTTTTTTCCCTCTCCTGCAAGAGAAGGAACAAATTAATGACCTTCACTTGCAGAGGTGAATTTTGGTTGATTTGTATGGTACGAGGTGTTATATATATATATATATATATATATATATAGAGAGAGAGAGAGAGAGAGAGGCTGTATAGATTCAAAGGAACGACGATGTGGTGAAAGAATCTGAAAATCCAATAACATTGTAAGTTCCACCACGCGCCTATTTTAAGAGCTTCCTCGGTTATGGCGGAATCTCCACCATTTTCGACTGCTCAACCGCGTGCCTTTCTAGAGGATAGAGGACTCGTGCGCGCATACAGATTGGAGTTTTTGTGGCATGCAAATGTTGATCTTCTCTCTGGCAAATCAATACAAAGTGCACAAGTCCGTCTGTTTCTTGGAATATTAATTAAGAGCCTAAACACATTCTCTAATTAGATGTACATATATGATCATGTCATTTGAAGAATATTGTTAAATAAATTATAATTAAGAAGAGAGATTCAGTGAATAATAACATATAATTAATCTTTCTTGTTGAACAGGAGGCATGTTACAACATTCACATGCAAAGAAATTATAACATTTTTAAAGAAATACAGTGTGTGTGTGTGTGTCTGTATATATAGATGTATGTATGTAAGAAAAAAAGGAGTCTTCATTTTTGTCTTCGGTACCGTTGCCCGCTTATGGCCTCCTTCGTGGACCGGACACGGTGGTATTATCCCCAAATAAGAAATCACGGACGGGCCTCTCATGTAGGCTGATCATAATGGGCTTTCATACAGCCCAATTCTGGCAATCCAGTTTCTGCTAAGGCCGACATGTTTCGCCCTGCTCATTCATTCACGCCCTCATTGATGAAGAAGACAAGACTCACATGTGTTCTTCTCCATCTTGTGTTTTTTGTCCTTCACGTACTAAGAACATGGCGGGTGGGTGAATGGCTAGGTAGAACCCAAAGAAATGCCCGAGAATCTTAAATGAGAGAATCCTTTCCTTTCTATCCTCCCAAAAATTTAAGCGATTTCATATATAATTAAATGCTCGTTGGACCGCTAATTAATCAAGGACGGACCTGCTTTTCATTTATAAAAACAGGTTGCGAGCTTGGCAATAAAACAATTAAGCATTGGTAGCATCGGGCACATCATTAATGTGAAGAAATATCCTAAGAAGACATTAATAAATTAAGCACGTTAAGTAAAAAAAATCACAGTACAAGAACTACTTTATTTCACTAAAAGGAAAATAAATAAAATCAAAAGCACATAAAATAAAGTGGAAACATAAAAAATTAATATTTTAATTAGAAAGTTATATATATATTGAAGTCTATAGTCAATAAATAAATTACTTCATGGGATACATCTCTTAATTATATTTAAGGAAAGAAATTACAATCCTGAATATACCTCATAATTGCTAACAGGCATGTACGTACGTACAGGGTTTTTTTTTTATGCTAAATGCGAAGACCCATAAAATTCTTGCTGCTACCCTGCCATTCTTATTTCACTTCTGGCAGGTCCGTGGTGACCTGAAAAATAGATATAATTAGTCATATGGTGCTGACCACTATTCATAGAAAGCAGCATGCTTGACCTTTTTTCCACTTAATTAATTCGCTTTTATTCATGATTTCAACATTTTCCATTTAATTCCCCATGGCAACCAAATCTAGTTAAGTGGATCACGACATCTCTCGAGCAACCATGCTCATGCAAGCCACGAAGCGCTGAACTGCATTAAAATCAAGAGTAAAGCTCTTCTTATCTCTTCCAACGAATCGCCTTACGCCCCATGTCACGGTTCAACCCCTAAAACTCCCATCTGGTTTCCTTGCCGTCTCCGTTGGACAGGAGCGCGTTCGGTTCTCGATCCCAACTAGGTTCTCGAAGCTCCCAATCTTTGTAGCCCTTCTTGAAAAATCTGCGGGCGGGAGATTATGGGTTCCAGTCCAGTGGAGGCATTGAGCTGCCTTGTGAGGTTGTCTTGTTTAAACAAGTGCTCCAGTTTCTTGATAAAGACGAGAAGAAGTATGGGAGGTTAGAGCTGAGTGAGTTTCTGAAATTGATTTCTGAAGTGGGTTTTGATCCATGCTATTCATGCAAGGACTTTTCCTGCTTCTCCTGGTCACCGTGATTTCCGTACACCTCTTCTAAAAGCTAGGGCTCAGACTATCCAATATGTTTCAAACAACAGTTTATGATCATCTGTGTTGATTGATTAGGTGTAGCAACATCCCCATCATCATAGTTGCTTAAACACACCAAACCATTAATTACATCAACTCATTGCTGTCTATTAAAGAACACCATTGTTTTGACAAACAACCGCAACAACATGGGAGATAGATCTAGATTGTCTCAGACTAGAGAGGATTTTTAGTTATGACATCAAAGCTAGACATTGCTTTGGGTTTGGTCTTGAGAATCCTTTAATGACAACCGACACACGGTGTTTGATAAAAGCTCCAACTAAAAAAAAAAAATGCTAAATGCGAAGACCCATAAAATTCTTGCTGCTAACGATATTAATTTCAAGCATCTCTAGATGTTTCCAAGACCTAATTACTCTCTCTTCAACTATTCGTTTCTTGAAATCAATTTTCTTATTTGTGCAAGAAATAAGAAATATCTCACAGTTGATGGGGAAAGGCTAATCAAGTTCTCTTAATTAGATTTCGTTGCAGGAAATCAAAGATTGGGTTTGCTTTGTAAGTAATTAAATCCTCTCCTTCTCTTTCGGTCATCCTGCTGATGCCCAGATGCTTCAAACATTGTTCGTGAATTTTTAATTTACGAGGTTGGTATTGTTAGAATTATTTATTTCTTTATTTTTTTCAATGTTCACTTTGAATTCTCATGGAATGAATATAGTATTTGTATATATGATTAGCTAGAAGAGTTATAAGTATTATCTAGACTTAAATATCTTGTGTTGTTTGGAGAGATAAATTCTGATTTTTTTGCTTTGTTTATGCTCCTATATATATATATATATATATATATATAGACTTTTTTTATAATAAATATCTTAAAAGATATTTAAGTTTTAATATATTCTATATAAATATTTATATTTAATATAAATATCTTGTAAGTATTTATGGAGGTGTGTACAAAACATCATGTAGGCTCGAACCCAAGAATTACTCCTGCATCTTCAATAAGCAAAATATGTAATGTCTAAGTTAATAAATTAAACCACATGAAGGTGCTATATATTAATGTAAGTTTTACTCTGCATTGATCAGTAATTGATAATATCTCTGCATGGCTTTGTTAAATATTGACGTAAATTAATTAATAGGCAAACATGCAGTTTCCTGGTGGGGTAGGAAAACGCACCAGCTGCTATAAGTTTGTTTCGTAATTTAAATTGATTTTTATTTACTTATCATGATTGTATCTTTCTTTTCTTTTGTGGTGGATGTTGCAGACCTGCCAAATTCGATGCATTTGTGGGGCTTTCATGTTCTTAACGCCGGCCGTGTTGATCACCTAAATGGAGACCTGTGGATTTCACACTTTTGTTGTTGCACATTGATGATATATATGTCTATTTATACAGAGCAACACACATGACAGAAAGCTTCTACTGTTTATTATTTGCCATAAATGGAATAATAGCGACAAGAAACTCCAGAAAGTGGAACAACATGGGATGAAAACAGTCAATTACTAAGATCAAATCAAGTAACGAAACTAGCTAGCTAGCTTGTAATTAGAATTATTTAGTAGTCGTTTATGAAAGTGATTAAAGACAAATCAAAAGTAACAAAGAGTATTGGTATATGGATGGACTCCCTCCCATGAATGCCATAATCCCATACCTTCTTCAATCTTGGTTTTTTGATGTAAGATACTTTGAAGCTTGCTCCATTTTCCGTCTTTAAGGTTGTAGGAGATGGATGTGCCCGGAATATGCAGCCACATGGATGATTCATCTTCTCTTACTTGTGATCTGTCAGCTAGATGTAGTATAGAGAACAAGTAACGATGGATGTCCTGCACATTGTTCCTCACCATTGATGGAAAGGAAGACGCTATTCTAGAAAGATCAACACGGTACCTCACCGACCAGCCTGAGTAGTCACTCTCCATCCTCATCACATCACAGCGAGTGGTTATAGGACCGTATATCTCAATGAGACATAGATGCCCTCCCGATTCACCGAAATATCCCAATCTCCTTTCTGACCGCCCCTCTGGGATCGGAGGCATTGGCATTGTGAGCATACGCTCTTGTTCAATATCAAATCGAAGTGCCAAGGCTCCTCTGCTAATCCAATGCAATGCACGGTTCAGAAAGACACCTCGATTGAATAACAAAACATGGGAAAAAACTTGATGATTTCCTGAGACTCTCCATGATCCTATGGCTGAATCATACATCTTAATCGTGTTGGAGTCACATACGCATATGATTTTGTAATGGGGTGATATGGTAGGATCATATGCCATGTTAATGCCAAACACAATCTTGCATCCAGGTTTAGGCAGCTGGTGATATTGCTTAGTGGTGAGTTTACAGATGTAGTACTTCCTATCATCTTCATGGCATCGAAAACTGCTGCATAGAAGAAGGCCATTGCAGGAATGTTGTATAAAAACACCTTGATCATCTTCAATGAAACAAAGAGATGGCTCTGGGGCAGCAGCATCCAGTCCTTCACATGTAATGAACTCAAGTTTCGAGTACTGTTCAAGAAACAAGAATTTTTGTAAGAAGATACCAGAGACATGATGTTGTGGGTTTCTCCGCGAATAATTGGATATGAATATAGGATCTGAGATGAGATAGTTCCACAATGTGCAAGGTTCGATGAAGTATTTCAATCATGATATCCTTTTCATCCATGATCATTATTGCCTGCCCTGTTCTTCGAGATGGCCCAGATGACAGGTTTCGATCCATGAAATGTTTTGCTGCAAGAACATGGATCAGATATCTGCGTACGAGACTAATATAACATAAGCTGATAAGAACTGGAAATTGGGCATAGATCAAGAAAAATAAATTGAGTCAAATTCAGCAGGCACAGATTGAAGTGGATTAACAGATACCTGTTTTCTCCCTAGACAGTCTCCCATATGTAACAAGAACGCTTCGGAGCACACATGCTGTTTGCTAAAAGTCAAGTCTTGCAAGTAGTTTCGGGGAAATTAATGTTAGAATTGACTGAGGAGTTTTCCTTTCGGTTCCGGCAAACAAGCTTCCTCGTCATTTCCTGGTTCTTACATACATCTGTTACATAAATTTCTAAAGCCAAATTTAGGTGCTATTGACAAGCTTCCTAACATTGGATTATGTTGCATACTTGCCCATAGAGAAAAGCTTTTTGCTGAGTTGTGTAGTTTTAAAAAAAATTGTTCTATAGCTTACGGACAGGGCAATGGTCCATTAAGGGAAACTACTGAAGGAAATTACGATGAAACTAGTAAGCCCCTTCTAGAGATTTGCTCTAAATTAAAGATTATATCAGGCGGCAAGACTATTGCTATTGGAGAACACGTCCAGAAATAAAATAGTAGAAACACGATCTAGGATTTTCCAACCTAGAAAAATGTAGTTGGAAAATTCAGATTCCCAGTAAAGTTCCTGTCTTTTGTCTATCGTGAAAACTCTGATGGAAATTATATGCGGGCTGAAACTGCACATGGATTACACGAAAAGCTAAGAGAGGAATCACGTTAGAGGGATTAAACTAGCCGCCATTTTAATCAGGCATGGGCAACTTCTTCATCAGTACATCTTAGGGACAACTGAAACAATCAAAACATTGGCCACTAGAGAGAATGTCTACTGCGTCCAAACTCTCTGCAGCCAAACACACGTCATACGCAGCTGCCTCTGCAGAATATTTATTGCTCAAAGGTTTTAGACACTCGCAAAACAAACTCCCCCTCCCCCTCCCCCTCCCCCTCATTTCATCCAATATCAACCAAACCAATACCCAATCATTGTTAGGGACAGCTACACCTGTATTGAGCTTCACTGAATTCTGGGGTTTCTAGCAGCAAACTCTTGGTCCCAAGATATAGAGATACCATTAGCAAATGAAACAGGTTATATGACTACCCATACTAGGTATCTGTCCATTGTAAAACAGAAAACAATCATAGAAAACGAGCATGACATCCTCTTCTCGAATATACCAAGACTCACAAAATGATCTTCACCCCAAAACAAATTCAAGAAACGAACCTTGCACAGCCACATATATAGCAGCATCCATAATTACCATCACAAACAAACAATTTAAGCAGGGCTCAATAAAACCAAAATTCCAACATGCAACCTTCCTGTTTAACTTTGTAGAAAAAACAATAGTCCAACGAAGAAAAAAAGAAAAAGGTAAATCACAAATTACAAAAGAGTACAACTGCAAGCTCAAATAAAATAAAATTCAATACAAATGCCACCAAAATTCTACTCTTTTTCCCTCTCAGAAATAGAGTAGAAACAGCCCTTGTAGTATCAATACAACAGAAATTCATTAATTCAATAAATAAAATCGGTAAATGCTAGTACTAGGTAGAAATGATCAAGAAGTAGAAGAGGGAGGTTTAGTTACAGTCCTAACAGCATTCCAAATCTGAGCAATACCCCCAACAACGTGAGGCCAAACAGTCTCAACACCTCTGAAAGCAGAAGCAGAAGCAACCCCAATAGCAAAAGTCTCAGCATAGCCAGGCTTTAAGTCCAACTTCATATCAACAACAGCCACTCTTGTGTTAACCGCGTCAATCTTTCTGGAAGCCTCACCCACCAGCTTGTCCTTCTTGCCCCTCTTGTTAGAAGCTATAACCCTAAAAAGCACATTTTGGAGATCTTCGATGACCTTGATTGATGCTTCTTGAGAGTCAAGGCCTTGAGATTGGTAATGGGATATCAGCTCTTGTGGAGTTGGAGGCTTTTTTTTTGTGCCTTTGATGCTGTTGTTGTCTTTTGATGGGGTAATATTTGGTGTTGCTGGTTGTTCCATTTTCATCGACTTCTTTATCTTTCGTCTGGGATTTTGAAGAGTGGAGAAAACCCTTCCCTTGTCTTCCTCGTATCCTTGCTTAGATGATGTGATAAAACCCTAAAATTGAGAGGTTTTTTGGAAAGGCGAGGGATAAGGAATGGTGGTTCTTTTCTTTTTTTGGAAAGGACCGATAGAGGATAGATAGAATATATAAATATATAGTATTGGTTTTTGGGCTTTGTGGAGAGGTGATTGGATCAGAGCTTAGATTGAACTGATCCAAGGCCCGTGTTGCCTTTATTAGCTGGTAAAAGTTGGGGGGCCTCAAGTAAATTACACGAGGGGAAAACAGACTTCCTGAGGATTTTTTTCAGAGTTTTTTTTTTACAGGAAAAAAGAAAAAGACCTAGGCGGCCTTAGATTTTGACGTAGGAGGAGCTTCTCTAAAAAAGTTAAATATTTTAAACCTAGAAATTTTATTTTATTTTGCACATGCAGTACCAGCATGTTTTTTTATTTACGGAGGATTATTCAGTATTATTCTGATTTTAATCGCGCCACCAGCATGCATGATGGATGAATGATCAACTTGACTCTAAAACATGTACCGAATAAAAACGACCAAAAAAATTTAAGGTTGAACTGGTAATAGAGAGAAAGAACAGGTCTCCTCCTGTTTTAAGAATAAATCTCGTACGAGGTAGAAGGCCATAATCTGTCTCCAACTCCATTGACGTTGCGGTGTTCTGTCTTCCACCAAAGAACTCAACGGTAATTCGAATTCCCGTGACGAAGGCCCTCCCCCAGTGTGATTCTGATACTCTTTGGGTTTCAATTTGCAAGCATTGAATACAAATTAATAATAGAGTCTAGAACCAATCTCTAATTGGAACCGCATCTGCACTAAGCCCTACCTGTCATCCAATCAACAACCAACCACAATGGCTCCCCCTCTCTCAGGTAAGAAGGCTGCAGGGCAACAATTCGCCCCTTCCCAAGAACACTAGTGAAAAATCCTTGATTAGCAGTTACTGATCATCCGTATATATGGACGTGAGTGCCCGAATCAAACCAAAAAAACAAATTGTCGTATTTACTTGGAGCTTAAAACGTGCACTCTCTGTTAACATATCTCACCTCTTATTCAGAAGGTTAAGAAACAGGAAAAAGAATCCATTGTCGCTAATCACGAGGGCACCCTTGATATACATCATCAGTGTATTTGCAAAAAATATCTAACCACTCCATGGGTGTTGGCTGCTGCTAGGTGCTTGCTGCATCTGTATATTCTCCTGATTAAACCGCAAAAGATATCAACAACTCTCACAGAAACACTGGTGCCATCACAAGTGTAATTGTCGCCAACATTTTTATGAGGACATGGATTGAAGGTCCAGCAGTATCTTTGAACGGGTCACCCACACTGCAAATGCAAAACAAATGCCACAATTGAATTATAATTAACTCACTGGATTCAGAAATAAAAATCCCAACCAATGATTTCTATCCATGGCTCTACTTATTCCCTACTCTTGAATAATTTGGGAAAGAGAAGGTTTCCCAGTTTTCAGACAAGATCAGACAATGATAGCAATACTTACGTATCTCCAGTAACTGCTGCTTTATGACAGTCACTCCCCTTGCCTCCATATGCACCTGTCTCGATGTACTTCTTTGCGTTATCCCATGCACCACCAGCTGTGTTCAGGAAAAGAGCCATGAGAATACCAGAAACTGTTGCAAACATCAGCATGGCAGCAACAACTTTAGCCCCGAGTAGAGAATGTCCTGTGTAGTACCCCAGGATCCGAAACACAACACCTGCAAACAATACAAATGTCAAGCAAACTTCACTAAATCCTTAGAAGAGATCAATGAACAAAACAAAATCAAATGGCAAGCAATTAACCTACCAACCACCATAGGAGATATAATAGCCAAGGCACCAGGTTTTATCATCTCTCTCAGAGATGCAGCTGCAACAATAGCAACACAGCGACCATAATCTGGTTTCTCCTTGTAGTCCTGTCACAAGCATTTTAAAAAAGAACATCATAACAGCACCACAGCATAATAGAAGAAACTAGTGCAGGAACATATGCTCACCATGATACCCGGCCTCTCAATAAATTGCCTTCTTACTTCTTTAACAACCTCCTGAGCAGTTCGGCCTACTGCAGAGCAGGCCCATGCACTGAATAAGAAAATAAGCATTGAACCCAATAGCCCACCAACAAAAACTTCTGGAATGGCAATATCAACCTGACAGTCAAATGAAAGTGCAAAGCTAAGATTCAGAGTTGAAGCATGAAGACAGAACATGGTAAAATGCAAGTGCAAATAGGTTTACCTGTGTGAAAGGTTCATGAGCAAATGTAGCAACCTCATCCATATAAGCACTAAACAGAAGGAAGGATGCCAGTGCTGCAGATCCGATGGCAAATCCTTTGGTTGTAGCTTTTGTAGTGTTCCCAACAGCATCGAGAACATCAGTAATCTCCCGAACACTTTCAGGCTGCATGTCATGCATTTTTATACAACATTTACTCAAATGAAGAATGTCATTCCTTGATTGAGAATTTTCAATGAAGACAATGATCAAGAGTTACCTGCTGACTCATTTCAACAATTCCACCAGCATTGTCAGCAATAGGGCCAAACATATCCATAGTAAGCACATAGGCAGCAGTGCTGAGCATTCCCATTGTGGCCACAGCTGTACCAAACAGCCCACCAGTTGGGTTTCCAGCATCATCCACCAGTCCTGAGGAGTTACCCAGCCAAAAAGCTGAAACTATAGATACACTAATGACAAGAACAGGAAGAGCTGTTGCTTCAAGGCCC